ATTTACTAAGAATGTGAAGGTACTGATGAGAATGAAGCTATCTTGAACCAATAGAATGGAAAGTGTGTCAAAGATGCCCATGTTCCCAGTTAGCATAAAACATGGTCTACAAAACTGGCAGCCGGCACCAACCTCGCTGACTCTCTCTTGAGTGCTCAGAGGCGGCGGTGGACTGTGGTATATGGCAATTCCAACCTGTTGTACAGATGAGGGCATCTCTGGGAGATGGGCCAATCCATAGACGAAGGTAGGGCTTTCCTAGGATAGCCTACAGAGCCATTTATTTTAGTTTGTTGAAGGAAAATAAATGTGAGTGCATACAACTGGTCTCTGAGTGTCTGCTGGTATCTTTCACCTCCACTCTGTGACATCCTCAAACTGTGTCTTTACTGTAACTCAAGCCTAGTGCTAAAATACAGCCCCATGTTATCCAGTGCCAGGCAATTGTCACATCTGTTATAAAGGAAGTGTTGACTCAGCCCAGCGCAGGAACCGCCACCAGAAATAAAAGGTCTCCAGAGATGGAATCGAACCTTTTAAGTTATTTACATTAGCCATTGATCTGGAACTTGAGTCAAACTTGATCCTTGGCTCTTAATAGAGAAATTCTTTCATTTGTTCGTATCCTTTCTCTCTCTCTTTTTGCCTTTCTACTGTTTCCTGGTTCTTTCCCTTCCTCCTCTCCATCTCCCACTGTCAAACATACACAAACACATGATCTACACGCCTCTTTATTAGATCCAAAGGATCTAATTTGATCTTCAAACGGTGTATCCTAGGGGACCGTTCTCTAATTGTGGTTGAGATAGTGATACGAAAATAAGAAGAGTCCATTCTCACTCCTCAGTTGTACTGAAATAAAGACGATCTCTAAGGTTTAGACAGCGGAGTCTGAGATGAAGACTTTAATCTGGTTGTGATGCACTTAACAGGCAAAAATGGCTGTCAAAGTCATCGTGTCTGGGAAGCACAGTCAGCGTTGGGCTCTGGTGCAGTTTCCAATGGGGGAGCTCATCAGTCATTCCAGATTGTCCACTGATCAACAGTGAACATGATAATAAGCATTTTTGACTTTCTACAAATGGGAGATACCACAGACATGTATTTTAATGCCCAAATACATGATCTTGTTCACTAAGGATTTATTGTCCCTTTTGCCTGTGATAATTTAAAATGTAAATGACCGTGATTTATATATCATGGAAATTAGAAAAAAAAAATAGCCTTTAGTGGTTGATTTCAAAGCATGGTAAGAAGTCATATTCAATTAGGTTTTAAAACTCTTGCTGAGACCTATAGTGATTGTAAAATTAATTTTAATTTTATTTGGGGGTAGGTAATCCTTTGCTCCAACTTTGTTAGCATACTCATGATAATACCAAGGAGTTACTGTGGGGTAATAAATAACAGTTCTTGTCCGAAGGAAGCATCTTCTGTCTTATGCCGTCTCCCTTTCCCAAATACGTGAAGTTATTTTACTCGTGTATATTCATCGGGAGCTGAAATTTGGGAGCTCATTTGCACATCTTTATCGTGTGGTGTTCTCCATTCAGTAGGTTGACTAAAATTTCCCTTGGGTTCATACAAGTTTCTAAACCTTTTCCCCCTGTGCTTCTGTCTTTGATTATTGTCTTTAATGGGGCTCTGTATGAAATGATGTGAAGTAGCTAAGGTTTATTATGTGATTATGTTAAGTTCATGCACTCTGTGTTGAGTCTTGAAAAGGATGTTATACATATAAATGACTTTTTTTTCCCCCACTATCAAACCAGCAAAATAAGTCAGAGGATTCCAGTAGCTATTTTGAAAGGTACAATCATGACACAGAGCCAGTAAACATTGGTTGAAAACTTAGGCTTGGGTTCACTACTTTCTTTTGCGTCTGTGCATTTATGAGAGCAGGCTCAGGTAAGAATAGTTACGTGTATATGTGGCTGTTGTTTCTTAAAGACACTTAATATCTTCCCCTTGGCTGAAGTGAGTTGACGTTAGCTTCTCTGGGACTTGATTATTTAAAAATTGAGGATGTGTTTCTCCCAGTATTTGGTGAAGTTAATGTGGAGTCTCCGTTCGTAGCTTTTTTTGGCTTGTTCTATTTTAGTGTTAAAGGCAGGTGACCTTTCCCCTCTTGCTCATCATCTTTCTTTGCACTCTGTCTTTTCACTGTCATCCGCAGGCCCTCCGTCTGCCTTTCCAGCCAGCAGCCAGACTCTTCTTTGCTGATCAGTCTATTACCCTGGGAACTCTGACGGTAGCACTTAAAATATATAACAGTTCCCTTTCCTACATTAAAAAGCCATAAAACCTTCGTGGGAAATAGCTAAGGGAACATACATAGTAGGAGGAGAGGCTTTTGCTCCTGCAGGCACCTTGCAGAGGGGACTATTTTTCTTATATGATATAAATGAAATCTTCACTCTGCCCACTTTCACACCTACGCGTGTACTGAGCGTCTCCAAGGAGACGAGGAAACCCGGAGTCCAGCGATGGTGGCTCCTCCGCTGAGACGGCAGGCTGGAGTCGCAGGCAACCCTCCAGGCGTCTTGGCTTCCAGACGCCCCTCTCAGACAGCCTCTTTTCTCGAGGCTCTTCCAGGCAGGCTTTCTCGAACATGTCTCTCCCTTCACAGATGAAATAGCCTGAGCATTGCAGCTGAAGGGCTGGTCGTGGTGAGTTCAGTAGGCAGAAGGCCTTCCTGGGACAAGAGGGCTGCTGTAGGGAGGTGGGATGGAAGGGTTCCACCTGTCCCAGACTGTCTCTCTGCCATCTGCTCATCTGTGCTTCTGTTTCTTTGCCTTCCTTGGTGTCTACTAAACACAAAGGCACCACTGAACCTTAGAAAGCGTCTTAAACATATTGTCTGTTACACCCTTGTAGATATGAGCCCAGTTTAGTGAGATTGTTCTTTGGGAGAAGTACGACTGGCAGAGTCTACTTTTTTAGGTATCTGCCCTGAGCTGCAGTCCTCTGGATCATTGTGTTTTTCCTTGAGTTCAATGCCCAGGAACCCCCAGACCCTCATATCTTTCCCCCATTCTGTCATTGTTTCTATGAATCTTCTCACAAATGTAGGCATTATTTTCTTAAATAAATGAAGTGTATTTCTCTTTAAGGAACACACTACCATCCTAAGTCCATTATGCTGACTTTTCAAGACTATAGTACCCATAGTATCTTTCCTTTTCTTTTTTTTTAAATCAGGGGAGTACATGAACACAGCCCCCACAGCATCAGAGTGTCAGGTCTTTAGATGATTTGACCACATCTCTGATCTTTATGTACCTATTCTTCTATGCACAAATAATCTAGTTACTGAATAGAAATTATTATTGACATAATCCCAAAGAAATACTATTTCGTCTCTAAACTCAAAGTACATCATTTAATGATCATTCTTAACATCTCTTCCATGTGTACATTCTTTTTTTTTTTTTTTGCAGTTTTTGGCTGGGGTTGGGTTTGAACCCGCCACCTCCAGCATATGGGGCTGGTGCCTTACTCCTTTGAGCCCTTGTGTACATTCTTGATTCCCAGCTGAATGGACTCAAGAAACTTCACTTCCACATGATTTTCTTTTTTAACAAAGTATCTACAAATGTCAGTGATCTCTTGTTGATCCTGCTGCCTTCTTTAGAAAGGCGTGTGTGGCTGTTCCTGTTCTTAATTCTTTGACAGTGAATGTCTTCATGAGGGTTTATTGATGATACTTTTTTTCTCTTTTTCATGTTAACTTAAGCAATAAGTAATTGCTTATTTATTTATTTATTTTTTAGACAGTCTTACTCTGTTGCCCCAGGCTAGAGTGAAATGACATCAGAGCTCACAGCAGCCTCAGACTTCTGAGCTCCAGTGATCCTCCTGTGTTAGCCTTCTGTGTAACTGGGACCATAGGCTCCTGCCACTATGCCCAGCTACTTTTTCTATGTTTAGTAGAGATGGGATCTCACTCTTGCTCAGGCTGGCTCAAACTCCTAAGTTCAGACAATCCACCCATCTTGGCCTCCCAGAGCGCTAGGATTATACCGCATCTAGACTAACTTTTTTTTTTTTCAATAGACAAGATTTCACTCTGTTAACTAGGCTGGAGTCAGTGGAATGATCATAGCTCGTTATAACCTTGATTTCTTGGGTTCAAGTGATCCTCCTTCCTCAGCCTCCCAACTAGCTGAGACTATAGTTGTGCACTGCCATACCCAGCTAATTATTTTTATTTTTTGTAGAGACGAAGTCTCATCGTGTTGCCCAGGCTAGTCTTGAGCTGAAGTGATCCTCCTGCCTTGGCCTCCCAAAGTGCTGGGATTATAGGTGTGGGCCTGCTTGAACTTTGATTGTCAATCCTTATGTTCAACATTTTGAAGCATTCTCCTTTTTTTCTTTTTGTTTTACCTTTAATTCATACACCACATCCCTAATTCTTTTTAAAGGAACAACCCTCTGTATTATAAACTAGAGGGATGGTTTGTAGTAAACATAACTAGTTCTGTTCACAGGTGCACGGTGTCCCCTCGGAGATGACTAGAGGTCGGATTTGCCATTTTTCTCTATCAGTTCCCTCCGTCACTCTGTGTATGTCTCATCTGTTTTGATCTTCTTCCCAACTAACCTAATCCATGTGTTGAACTTGAGTTCCCAAGTTCCCCCAAGAATAGGTCGGAGAGCGAAGGTGCCCCCAAGACGGGCCTTATGTTGTCTCCCTGGTTTCTGTTTTTGCCCAGGTTCCTCCTGGCCTCTCCCCCACCCTTCCTCAAAGTCTCAATCATCCGTGCTCCCAAATTTTAGGACAGCTTTTTGGTAGGGATCAAGTGTCCGCTCAGCTAAATTACTGTGCCTGGGAACTGTGGATGAAATTAGCCAAATCAAAGGCAATGCAAACGACTGGTGGGAAGTTTTATAGGGAGATCAGGACCCAGTCCCAAAGTGCACTTCCCGGAATCCCGTTCTGAGGGGCTCATGAACCTGTGTAGTAGTAACGCAAGTGGTTTCTTCTGTCTCCTCTCCAGGCTCTTCAGGTGGCAAGACAGCTTCTTCTTCAGCAGCAGCAGCAGCAGCAAGTTAGTGGGTTGAAGTCTCCCAAGAGGAATGACAAACAACCAGCTCTTCAGGTAGCGCTTCTTCTTCTTCTTCTTTAATGACATTATACCCTGTGGGACAGCTGATGAGCAACCTAGGAGCGGAATGTGTTGAAAATTGCAAATCCCGTGAGATGTTCTGCAGAAGGTGCGTTTTTACTTTACCCGCAGAGTATGACATTTGGGGGAAAATGAGTTTTGACCCATAGTTACAGTGTCAGGAGTGAGGAGACCTACTTGATTATTCAATATAGTAGGAAGGTGAGGAGTTGCAGGTGTTGGGCTAAGAGGCAGGGTAGGTTACCAGCGAGGAGAAGCTCACCGTGCTCAGAATTATCATCCTATTCTTTGATGTTGGGGCTAGAAAAAAACACACTTCAGTGAGTAGTTATCTAGAGGTGGGATTTTGCACACACACACCACCCCCCCCCCAGGAGACAAGGAGCAATGTCTGCAGACATTTTTGGTTGTCACACGAAAGGGGAAGGAGGAGCTACTGACATCTAGAAGGTACAGGCCAGGGACAGTGCCTAACCTTCTCCAGTGCACAGGGGACGAGATAGAATGATTCGTCCCAAAGTGTCCACAGTGTCACCAACTGTTACTGGGCCTGAGGATGGTGTGGTACTTTTTAACAGTATACCTTGTAATGGGTATTAATATATATTCTTCATTGGGTATGTTCAGGATGTTTCTGAATTATTAATAAGAAGTGGTGAAACGTTTTTATGGAAACATACCCCCAAAAATATTTTTTAGCAACTGCTCATTTAAGACACGTTGAAGACAAGGAGTTAATGGAATTGAAGATGGAGTGAGTTTATGAAAATCTTATTTGGATTTTTGGATTGAAGTAGAAAATTGTAATAGAGGTTCGGAGAAACTCGAATCTGGGTTTTCATGCTCACATCCAACATAAGGTACCTGAAGGTCCTAAATGGGGCTCAAACTACTTTCAGGGGGGGCATCCCCAGCATGGGAGGCTAACGAAGGGTTTCTTACATTGGGAATTTGGGAGCCAAACCCATAAGTGGTAGCTAATGAATTGCATCACGTATAACTTGGGGCCGGTTAATGTGATCCCAAGTTCAATCTAAATTCTAGCTTGTGTTGACTTTCCACAGGTCAGGGTGAACCACTGCCGGTTCTCAAGTTATCCTGCAAAGACCAAACTGACCTTGGGCACCAAGTTCTAGTAACTTCTACATGTACTTGGGAAACTGTCCCTCTCCAGGGAAATTTCAGCACTGTAGTGACACTTTATTGGAAAGGTTGAATGACAATGTGCGTTGTTTACTAACACTTCTGAAAACAGTTATTTGGTAAACCATCACCAGTCTGTGTGCCTTTTAATGTGTGTGCATGCGGGGGACATTTTTAATGAGGCACAGTGCCATTGAGAGCCTGTGTCAGGTGCTGTAAGGAGTGCTTTGTTGTGCAGATATCTTAAGAACAGCTCTGGAGGATGAAATATGACTGTGTTGACCTTTCAGCTGTGAGCTTATTTGTCAGGATTCAAATAAGTTGAAAGGATCAAACTGAACAGTTTCCGTAGTCAGACTGGGAATTGTGTTTCAGAGGTCAGCAGCAGAGGCCACATTGCAGATTCCATAACATAGCCAATTGTTGGTACATATTAAAGTACTGGGGCAGCTCCTGCAGACAGAGACACAATTAAAATTCTAATTTATTAATGTATACAGGGAGCTAGCCCAGCCTGTCACTCAGTGATTCAAATGACTGTCCATTCTTTTTTGCCTCCCTCTTGGAGTTCTCGCAGCCTTAAAAATATCGTGAGTCCTCTTGAGTTTATCAGACCTCAAGTGCATTGGAAAAATGAAAATATATTATTGGGGGGAAGAGCTTACACATAGTAAAGCTTTGGTAAGAGATAATAAAACACACACACAATCTGTCTGATCACACTGCTCTTCAGTATTGAATATCATTTGTGATTTTTTTATAGTAGACTTATTTTCCCTCATACTTGCTTTTTTAAAACATATGGCATTTTTAGGTAACTTCTCTTCCAAGATGAACGAAGTTCCTTTGGGGCTAAATATAAGAAGTAAAGTTTCAGGGGATTTCCTTTTGCGGCCTCTTTTTCTTCTTGTCTGTTAGGAGGTTTTTAGCCACCGTGCAGGAGAGTATGATACAGAGGGCTTCGTTTTTCTTGGCAAGGACAGTGTCAAAACCAACCTAACACATTCTGCTGAGCACTTCAGTCTGTATAAAAAGTGGGGGAAGAGGGGGTGATCTTGAACGCTGGTTTTGCTAAAGAAGATGTCTTCGAGTCTTTTTCCGACCCCCTCCCCCCAAGTGGAGGAGTTGACAAGCAGAGATTTTAGACCAGCTTTTAAGAATCAGGCTGGGGGGAAAAGAAAAAGGGTTGGTTGAATGTGGCTGAATGTCTCCTCAGCTGCCTGGGTAGGGTTATGCAAATTCACTAAGCTTTATTAGGTTGGCTGGCCTTCCACAAACAGAGAGGAGAAATTACTATCCTAGGCCACATGGTATATTACCTCATTATAAAAATACGTATCTAAACTTGGAGATTCACGGAAGGAATAACCTTCATATTTAAATATATCTTGCCATGCCGTGTCCTCGCCGAGGCATCTCAGCCGGAGTGGCTGTGAAATGAAAGGGAAATCCTACAGCAAATCTCAACAGTGCTCATCTCTGATCTTCTTACCCTTCATAACTACACTGAGAGACCTAGTTTAGCAAATTTCAGATCTTCTGCATAGAGGAAGGCTTGACAGGGAAGAAGGATTTGATCTGCTGATAGCTTGAGGAAAAAAAAAAAAAGAAAGAAACCCAAATCCCCAAATATACTGTGACTCATATTTTAAGCATATCTCACACTTCCCTGCTCTGTGCTTGGCAGCGCTCTCTGGTTTCACAGGCTGATGATACAAACAAAAGAAAATGGAAAGTTAGAGGAGGCTATAAGTGGTTACTCGATAGAGATCATAAAATGTAGTCAAACATTACCAATTTGGACTAATTTCAGGGAGATGAGAGTAAATAAGAGAGGCAGGAGGCTTTGGGGGACAGATACACACACTGAACCAAGTCTGCGCTGGCCACATTTTTGGCTTATGTGATTTATTAATGAAGGCATTAATTGGGTAGAAATACTGCTTCCCAAGCTCTTGAAAAATATTCTACTTAGTATCCTATCTTTTCACTTCAGTCTATTAATTTGCTTTGCAAATTTTTTTATGGATGATAAAAATGAAAATTGAAATTTGGCCCCACCATCAATTCAGAATCAGAATGATATGAATTAATTAAATGCAGTTTCGTGAACGTTTCCAAAAAAGTCCACAACACCCTGGCCATCTTGCTGGTGTTTGTAGGACACAGAACTGTCGAAGCTACAGACCCTGCCTTCAGGAGGCTTATGAATTGTAAAAGAATTAACTGCAGGACGAAAAATTATAGGTGAGTAAAAATAGTGGACTCTCTTCTATAAATATTTATGTACTTCTGAAGATTGCTTAAACAAGTAAAATAAATGCTTAACAGTGCAGGTGTACTCATAACCTCAAAAATGTGTAACTGTACTGGCTGAAGATTAATTTGTGAGTAGATGAGCAATTTTATTGATCAAATTTTGGAACTTTGACCACCGTTTCTGGGTAGTAATTCATTTCGGTTCTTTAAGCATTTTAGTTGTTGGCACGAGTATGTAAACTGGAAGGAAATCAAATGACACATTTTCTCCTAAGAAAGTAAAAGTACATGTGTATTCTGGCAGCGTTAAAGTTAGGAAAGAAAGTAAACCTTGTGTTGCTTATAGTGGAAAGCTGACCACAGTTTCAGGCCGTCTATAAAGAATTTGAACTTGAAGCCAGTCATCTGATAGTTTTCCCTCCTGCCCCTCCTCTTCCTTCCAAGGTTATGTCATGTGTAAGCATCCCGCTCAGGGCACCTTTGCACCTGAAGGGAGGATGTGAAACCCACTAGAAGGCCAGCCTTTTAGTCCACTTGGAAGCTCAGAATTATAATGAGGACTCCTGCTTTAAGTGGAGGTGATTAAAATACAAGATTCAGCAGGTGTTTTTTAGCATTTTTATTTGCAGTTATATAAAACATGCTTTAGGCAGCATTTTTGCTTTGCATTAATGCCACATATAATCTTAGTACCTCGTATCATTTCCATGTTATTCACTGAAGAGTAAATTGGTAGGAGGAAACCTTTAAAGGAAACTACAATTTTTACATCGTGGATAGTGAAATGGAATGGTTTTGAAATACTGGCCCTTAAAAATATCCCTATGCACTGAATTAGTAAAGGAGATAATTCAGGAGAGAGGGCCTAATTATTTTTATTAAATTTCTAGTATTAACATCGTCTAGAATTGGAATCCTTAGCATTTTCAGTTGATATGAAGTACTGAAATGTTGATACCTTTTAAGTGGTCACTGTTATATCACATGACTTAAGAGTATCCCAAAACCCTAAAAATAAGTCTTGATAAGGAACGCTAAAACAGAGATGATGCTTTATAAATGGTTATTAATTCTTTCAGATTACGTTGCCATTAAAAAAACATAATAGAAACAGTGACCCATTCTCGGAGAATTGCACATACACACGGAATTTTGCTTCCAGTTTTAGGGGGTTCATGAACTCAAAAAGTCCATCTGGCTCAGGTTCATACTCCTGCTTAAAGACTTTTTTTTTTTTTTTCTAAAAATGGTACATTTTGTCCTTGCCTCTAAAATTCTTATGGGGTGATAATATAATGGGTTAGCTCATTTTTCATATTTCAACTTCAGCTATCTGTAGGGTACCCTGTGTCCCAGTCTGTCAGAGTCAGCCCCAGTTCATGGCGGTTGGCTAGGTGTGCTTATTAATAGTTCTCACTCTCTAAAGTATCTCGGTTTGAGCTGGGCATGTGCACCTGTAGTCCTAGCTACTCTGAAGCCTTCAGTTGAACTCAGGAGTTCAAGGCTAGTCTGGGGAACCTAGCAAGACTCTGTCTCTATTAAAAAAAAATCCCAGTTTGGACATTTAATTA